TAAGATAAACTTGAAATCCAGCTGTCGACTTGTCATCTCCAGCTGTCTATCTCATGAATGAGTTGATTTTCATCTTCTCTTGGCACCATGATTTCTACCAAGATAACGGCGCAACAAGGATCGGGTGCGCACCTTAGCCGATTACATCCGGCTATGGAAGAGGAACAGGACAAGGGCCTCCAGATCATCAAGCCGCCCCCTCAAGAGAAGAAAGCATGAGAATCCAGACCCCGATAACCAGGGTCTCGGTCCTCATGAGGGGGAGAATCAGGCCACCACAGCCCAACAAACGGAGTCCGCTGCACCATCACCACAACCCCAAACACAACAATCCCCATCAACCCAAGCAAGGGAACCAGAGGCTCAGCCCTCTGAAGATGTACAAAATGTACATGTTCCCCTTCCAGCCTCCCCTGAACCCATCGTGTTGAGTTCATCAGCCGATGAAAACCCATCCACCCCACCAACAGAAACCAACCCACCTTTTCCTCCAAACCTACCATTAACCCCATCACCAACCCCTCGCCAAACACAACCTTTCATAAACCTACCCGATGAACCCGAACAAACACACATCCAACCTTCACCTCAACATCCTCAACCCCAGACACAACCCGATGAACCTTCACCACCCCAAAAAGAGCCAACCCAAGAAACCATCCCATTGCCAACCGAAACACAACCCACTACCCAAACACAACCCCCAACCGATACACAACCCATCACCCAAACTCAAACCCCAATCGAACCAACCACGGTGCAAGCGGACATTCCCTCTTCGTCAAGGCAACCTCTGCAGAGCCTAGTCGATGAAATAATCCAGAACATGGAGTCGCTAAGGAGACGTCCAAAGCTGCCACCCAGGGAACCCATAATGATGGAAAATATCCATCAATACTTGTATCACGACCGCGATAAAGGTTTGACTCTCAATCCTCCGGTTCTATCGCCAGAATCCATGGACCTCCTACACCATAGGTTTATTAGACAAACCACCCAAGCACCACAGGTTGTCTTCTCAAATGATGGATAAGGAGGGTAATGGACCTAAAAGTGAGGACCTTCGCCAACAGAGCCATAAGATACATCGAGTACACAGTGGAAAGAACACATGGTCAAATCAGCGTGTTCAATGACAATGACTTGATCAACCTCAATCCCTATGACTTGATCTAACTTTATGCATACACGACTCAACGACAGGATCATGGCATCAGATTTGGGATGGCAAACAGAGCGGTTGTGAAGACAATGGAGACCCTGGTGAAGCATCGAGCCAAGATTGATTTTCAAATTGCTCTTCACTTAGGCATCGAAAGACTCTCCTGCGCTCCACCAAATGAAAACTTCCCTGGCTACAGGAGAAGAGATCTGCCTCAATCTTAACTCAACCCGAGCTTGGACTTGTCTACAAGAATGAGTTCGGGGTAAAGAAATTCTTCAGACTAACTGAGGCATTCAAGTATTCAACTGATACACTTGAATGGTTTCAGAAAGTCATCAGAGAAAGACTTGGTAGAAATCATGGTGCCAAGAGAAGATGGGAATCAACTCATTCATGAGATAGACAGCTGGAGATGACAAGTCGACAGCTGGATTTCAAGTTTATCTTAAAATTATAGCTTATCCATAGTTTAGATAAACATTATCTGTTAATAGAAGATTAGCTAAATAGTCTCACTAGATAGTTATCTTCTAATTAGCTTACTAGTATAAATAGATGATTAGGCCTATTGTATTAAATGTCGCTTTTACGTTTTTCTTATTAACAAAGTGAAACCTTTGACACTCAAGATTGTTCTTTAATGTTCATAATTTATTCTTGAGTGTTCATCACTTTGTTCATTAAAACACTATAATTTGGTTATTCTTAACTCAATTATTAGTGTTATTGAGAGATCTGGGATCAACAATTACATCCTATTATAGAGCATCCTACATACGAGAAGGACTACTAACTCCTAACCAACATATAGTATTTCGGATTTACCAAGACTAGGCACCGACTAATAGGTAAGTAATGTTGTTCTCAGTTCTACCTACTTCACCCTCCTGATTCCCATTTAGGCAACATGAACATATTTTCAAGCTTGTTCATACAAATAACAATGGTTATCATTTAAGCAACAACGAAATTCTAGAATAAACCCAAGTATTTACTTCCATATAGACATATAAGAGACCAAAAACCTAGATGCGGGAGGTAGTATCAATAGAATTACATAAATAGAAAATCCTTCCTCAATGCGAAATAATGGACCGAATAATTTCAGCCCCTTTGGCAAGAAATAACAATCAAATGATCCAAAATTGCAGATATGCCAATAATATCCAAGGTCAGAGTAGATACCTCACGAATTTGTTTTAGACATCCACCATCCTCTCCATATATAGAAGGTACAACAGTACGAGGAACAACAACTTCCACAGTGGTATTTGTGATTATAGCTTGGTGGCTTCCTCTACATTGACACAAGTATAATCATTTAGCAAGCAATGTTGATTTTGAAGGACTATAGTTGAAATAGGCATTTGTACGTATAAAAGAGGTACAAACCCTCCAAATCCACCCATTCTCCTTTGGGGGACTCCTCCATAGTCAGAAAAGCCTAGAGGTCCACCAAACCCACCACGACCTTCAATAACCTGCAATAAAATTGCATAAATTAATATTTACATACATCATATAAAATGTTTGAGAGCATGTTCATATCTTGCCTAATAAGTTTGAATAACGATGCACATTTATACTACTACACACGCATAAAGTGTTTCTGGCTTTATCAGATGTATTATTCATATTTTCCTCAGCTACCACATAAAACAAATCAAGACAATCTTCCAGACAGAGTGATACCTGAGGACCCCATGGTGCTGAAGATCTTTCAGACATAGGGTGGGGAAAGCCTGGTCGATCATTCATAAATGGAGGGCAATCATCATGCGGGTGAAACGCACCATGTGGAGGGGGACCAGCATCAAACCGGTTAAAAGAGGAGTACCTTCCTGGTGGTGAATGCTCCCTCCTACCCATGTATGATGGAAATGGTGGACCATGATCTGGGAAACCAGGATTTGATGGATGATTCATAGAAGGAAATGCATCTCGAAAAAAATGATTTCGCAGTCTTGTGGTTATTTGCAAAAGAGCCTCATGGACTGCATCAAAGTCACCATTTACCTGCTCAATGAAGATTCCCAATCAGAGAGAGATGGAAGATATTGCAGTAGCTGAACATCCAAAAATGTGAACCATTTGTATCTTACATTTGTGATTGGAAGTATTTCTTCTATTTACTTGATTAGAACATGGAAAATTAAAAAATCCCCAAACCTTCGTTGCACATTTAGAAAGCATGAACTAACTTAAGTCAAAAGTCCCAGCCATACCTGAACTACTTCTTCATTTTCAGCAGCATACTGTGGAGTTTGATCCTTTCCTAATATACGAATATAAGCCCCAGTTGTCTTTCTCATTTCAGATATAACTGCACCACCCTTGCCAAGGAGACATCCAATTTGATGTGCAGACACTATGATTTTTGCTGTCACTGCCTTGTTCTCAGGTGCAGCCCGATATATCCTTGTTTGTACACGAAGAACTGCATCTTGGGGAGCACATATCCTCTCATCTGGGTGCTGCATCAGTTAATTGATTGTTAAGCACTGCCTCTTTTTGATACATTAGAAGTTGAAATTAAAACAAGGAGACAGAATATAGATATAGCAGATACAAAGACAAGTCTCAGTTAATACCGCTGGTCCAGATATGACAATAACACGGTCATCTGATTCTGCAGTTCTTTCAAGGACTTTAATGTCACATCCGGTCTCGTGCTTAAGTGCCTTCACAATAGTTCCCCCTTTTCCAATTACACCCCCCACCTTCTCATCAGGGCATATCAAACGGTAGGTTAGCATGTCTTGGAGAGAACCAAAACGCCCAAAAGTACCACTTCCACCATCACGAGGCCCTGCAGGTAATGGTCCTCCATGAGAAGGAAAAGGAGGATGTGAGTCTTGCCGAGAAAAAGAACCACCAAAGGAATGAGATGAACCGCTATTGTTGGCAGAGAAAGAATCATTCTCTCGAGGTGGATGATCTAGAAGCTGCTGTGAAACAGATTGAAGTGCTTTCCTAACTGCGTTTACTTCTCCAGATATCTACAGCAAAGCAACACAAATTGCTAATTTCAAAATCAAATGTACCAGAAATCAAATAGTTGTAACCCTTATACAGACATATACATGCACTAATAAAGGAAGGGGATACAAATAGTGGAGAAAGAGATGTAAGAAACAAAGTTGTGTTATTGAATCCACCGACACAGCATTTACTGTACATTTCATTTTGCCTAATATGCCAGGATGTCTGGGTCAGAGATGGAATCGTACTACCAAACCTTCGAATAAAATCATGGCCACTCAGAAAACAAGAAAGTTACTATCAGAAAAGTGCAATATGTTGTCATTCGTTAATTATTCAGGGATAACTACTATGTCAAAACACATTTCTTTCAACTGCAACAAATTAGCATACATTATTTACTAGTGTCAAATTCAGATGCATGTATAATCTCCATAACTCATGTAATTGATTCATGAGTTCGATGATTTAAAATCTGGCTTGGTCATGAGGATTTCTTATATGTGTAGGTTAGTATTGTTTCGTTCCACATTCCAACAAATCAATCATTGTAACTCTTATCCGTAACTGGAGATTTAGGGTAGTGGAGCCTCCTTAAGTATGTTATTAGCTGGAATGTGCATGTTAGTCTGATAATAGTTTCTTGTTCCAAATATGCAATAGGGTCTCCATAATTGATACAAAAAGTTCTGATCACCAATGCTTAACGTTTGTTGAAGCATTAAATCACTGAATAGAACATGTAGTACTTCTCAAGAGTTCTCTCTAAATGCTAATGAAAAGAGAAAAGCGTTATCCAAACTATCTTCCAGCTGCATGTAAAGTCTCAGGAATGATTCCTGAGAGACCCCAGCCTCTGGTATAACCAACATTATTGTATAATTTAGCACAAACCTCGTTATCTTTATGTTTATCATTAGGCATCACTTGCAGCAAGACATGACAACCGGATGCAGAATCCAGAATGCTTTTGTAGATAGATCCAAGTGACAGGGCGAAGAGGAAAAAGGAAAAGGGCAAGATCGGTGGTGAGGGAACTGGAGCAGGGAGATCAAAGAAAACAAAGGGGAAGATCTGTGGTTGAGTTGCAGGAAGTTGAGAGAAGAGACAAAAATGAGAAAGGAGAGGTGCATGAAAGAGGAGTCACGGAAGTTGATTACAATTATAAACAACAAAAGAGAAATGTTCAGTGACAGCATATATCTTTATAACCCTGATACCATCACTTTATTACATCTCACTTCATGTGCACGGTGCACTGAACGAAAAGAAAACAATGGTTTTCCTTTAATTCCTTTAGATTGAAGCTCCTTAGTTGGATCCATGGCCATGATATTTCCTAAAGGCACTTCCGATCCGACCATGGTAAATAATCAAGATGCATGATATAGAAAGTCTGGCAGATCAACCATAAGTATACCATGGTGAGATCCAACTGAAGAGTTAGAATATTTAAATAGAGTAAATCTATGGCAACCACCAATGCTACCACCACCCTCACATTTTTTTCCTTTTCTGAAAAGAGTGTATAACTATGAAGGGAAAGAATATGTATTGCCTTACATCTTTTTTTACATAAAGGTATCGTATGAGTTTGATAATAGCATTGGTACTTACCATAGATTTGCAAGTTTGAAGTACTACAAATATAAAAGATTAATATATAAATAAAACTTGGCCGAGAACAAATACCACCAGGCACCAGCTTTGACATCTTTAACGACAAATTAACCAAAAAGTGAAAGTTACCTGAACCAATTCATCGGAAGAAGATGCACACAAGGGAAGTTTATCCCTAGGAAGAATCCGTATCTGTGCCCCACTTTCAGAGGCCATTTGTTTGATTACGCCACCAGATTTTCCCAAAAGGCAGCCAACTTGAGTAGAAAGTACGAGTAACCTCACAACAATGGTTGTGTTCTCTTTTTTAGGATCTGCATCCCCTCCATTCATCTCTGGTTCTTCTTGTTCTCCTTCAACCATTCTTTCAAACACAAGCAACAGAGCCTTCTGCACAGAAGAAGCAACCTTTTCGGATTGCAAATCTTCCCCTGCAACAGACTGTTTTTGTGTACTATCCCCATCAGGTTTTTCTGCATCATTGGTCTCTTCAGTTGCTTGAGTTTCTTTAGTTTCTTCATCTGCATCCTTGCTCTGATCAGTAGAAATTCCAATCTCAATCCCAGATCCTGCGATAACAACTACTCTCTCATTGCACCCAGGAACGGTTTCCTCAACCCTCACCTTTGCACCAGTATCCAGGCGTATCTGTGATATTTTGTTACCCCCTTTTCCAATAACACTTCCAGTTTTAGAAGCAGCACAAAGCACTCGAAAAACAATGCTTCCTGGAGTAATTTTAAATGATGTATTTTGGGAAGTAAAATAAGCCGGTTTCTGCAACTTCCCTTTTCCATTGGGCTCTGAATCACTCTGCTCATGTGGCCTCTTGGACGGCGTTAATTGAGATGACATATCCAGAAAACTATCAAATCCAACCAAAAAAGAGATAATTCAAAATGACTGTTCATAATAGCAAAGTATGGACATACAATAAACCCTCAGCTCCAAAGAGGACCGTAAAAATCTAAAGGGAGCCAAGTTCGACCAATTACTCAACACAATTTTTATACAAGGGTTTTTGGTCATCGAAAGAAACTGACTGTCGATCTATCTTTCTCTATATCTTAAATCTTAAATGGTAAGGACACATGGGAAAACTGAATTTACGAAGACAGTGGAACACTTCATATATTCATGGTGGAAATGTATCCCTGCTTGGAAAACATAATAATAGTCATAATTCATAATGACAGTAAGAATATCTCGACTTATGTTATAGTTGTCTTTTACTTCGAATACTAATGAAATGTTGCCTGAACTATTATTTTATTTCCTTCAAGAAAAAGTTTTTGTCGTATGGTAGGAGGTCACAAGCTTATTGATGACGTTTAACAGCCGTTTTATAGATCCACTGCACTGCTAACGACTAATCGACACATGACATGTGTAACTCACTCAGCTCACAGTTTTGTTTCAACAAGTATATATTCAAAATATGGAATATATGCTTGGTTATAATCAATTATGATGCATAATTCAGTAAACCTGTATATCAGTAAATTACAATCTGCGAGTGATTCCATGTTCAATGAAAATTGCACATCTTCAGTTTCTCTTACAATGTGTGAGCTTAGAAACACCGGATTACTTAATTTATGCTTCAATATTATTATCTAACAAGTGTTCTGTTATACAAACCCTAACTCGAGAATTTCCAGCAAAATAAACCCCAATTTCCTATTCTATATTATATCAGAATACATAGTCTAGAGGAAAGTACTACAATAAACCATATAAACAGTAAAAATTTGAACAAACTCATTCCAAACTGCCCATTCAAATAAAAAACTGAAGTTGAAAAAATATACAAAGAAGGAACAATACACACAAAAGATTATCTAAACAGAGAGCGAAAAGAACTTGACCTAGGTTTTGAAGATACCTTTGGCGAAGATAACGAAGAATGAAGGAGAGAGAATGCGATGGCAGTCTTCACAGCTATGAACTTTCGGAGAGTTGCCTGCGGAAGAGAAGAGTATATTTGAAGCGAGCAGCGACAGGGTGGCGGTATTTGGTGGTGGGGTCGCAATTCGACGAGGTGAGAATGGCGGAGGAGGGAGGGAAGGCTTTCAGTGTCTCCGCAAAGGGAAGAGATTCATACGGGTCACGTGCATGTCACGCGTATCATGAAACCTGCGTTTGTTCAGAGATGAAAAAATTAAAGGAAATGAAAAATAATAATCTTTAATGTTTTTAAAGAGAGAAATGATAAAAAAAATGTGTCATTTTTAATTAATATTAGAAGAGTACGTGTGTAATGCAACGAAATACATCTTAATTTTGATGTTTTATTTTATTTTTTCAACGTCGATGTTATGATACAATTTTATGTGGTAACGAAAAAACGAATATGTTTTTATTTTTTAATTAAAGTATAAAATTTAAAGGTATCATAAAATTTTGAAAAAATGTATCTACTTTAATATTAAATTAAATATTTACAAAGTATTGTTTTTTGTGATTTCTTTAATTTAAATTTTTTATTATAATTTAATTTAGATGTAGTAATGAAGTCACTTATTTTTGGTTTAATAATATAATATTTTATAGAGATAATAATTAAGTATTTTGATAAAATTCAATGATTATCCTAATTATAGTTTAGATTTTTTATATTTAAAATTCGATATTTATCTTCTATTTAATTATGTTTATCGGCGGTTAGTTACACGAATTCAAATATGAAGCTTTAATAAATTGTACTTATGCACAACTTACTTGTAATCTTGAATTTTAAGTAATATGCATCAATAAACAGTATTTCATGCATAAAAAACGGTTTTTAAGAGTTTTTATCAAATGCTTAATAATGTAGTATATATATATATATATATATATATATTTTAGAACGAAGTATTTGGTTGCTTTGGTAATTTTAATAAAAAAATTCCGTTTCCTTCCTTTTCCTTTCATATTTGGAAGGAAAGTTTTGGAAAAAGTCTTATCATTATTTTTCTTTCTTTTCTTTCTAAAGAAGTTTCAAAATCATGAGTTTTTTTAATTTCCTCTTTTTTCTCTCCATTTCTTTTCCTTTCCTTTTCATCGTAAAAAAAGTTTCGAGAACACAGTGTGAGTTTTTTTATAAAAGAAATGAAGGGGGGAAAAAGAAAGTAGAAAAAAATGTTGTGTTCTTGAGTTTTTTAAAGAAGAGAAGGGAAAAGAAAAAAAGGAAAATTATGTGATTTTCTGTTAAACCCATAATCAATTTGTATTAACAAAAGCTTCAAAAAATTGTTGATCCCCTCTCTTAGTGATTTGATGATGATCCTTTTTTTATCTAACAAAAAGTAATTTCTCTTTATTCAGCTTCAGTGATCATCACTGAGTCTGTTCAGTGATCGTTGAACAAGTATTTTTCAAGAAGACAAAACTCACACAAACAACTTTTAGTGATATCGAAGATAAAGCTGAAGATAAAGACAAGCAGATCGTGATCTGATGCAGTTTCAGTGATAACAAGCATGTATGCATATATGTGAAGTCTACTCAAGATTCAACATATATTGAAGAAACCTTAGAGTTATTCCAATGTCAGTGATCAAATGAATCTTATTGATCAAGATTAGTTTTTGTCTTATCCTCCAACACACAAAGGACAAACTCATACCTCTCAAAGTAAAGCACTCATACGGAGTCACCCTATTGTCTCCAAACGTGCTTACCTATACAGCCAAAAGCCTGTATATCTGAAAACAAATGACAAGCTCACCTCTAGAAGCTTGTGATGTGCTTTGTACTGTTTGACTTGCATTTAATGCAATGGGTATAAATAGATGAGAAGTCACTTCTTCTCAAACAGTCTTCAAGATCTCAAAATACCCAAGAAGAGACACCCTCACAAGCACAGACTTCTTGACCTTGCGAAGTTATATTTACTTCAAGTGAAGAATACCAACTAAGCTATTTCTCTAGCGAGGTTATTGTTTCTTCTTTTAGCAAGTCTTTTCTTTCTTGTTTTTTGTACATTGTGTGTTCTTTAGATTGGTTTAGATAAGTTTTGTATCTTATCTTATTCCCCAAAGGTCTGTAACTTTTGTATTGATCTTCTTTATTAATAAAGAACAATAAAAAGTGAAAAATATTGTGTGTTTGTATTCATCCATTCCCTTCTACAAACTGTTACCTTTAAACTATTGTAGATCCGTCTGGGACCAACAAGTGGTATCAGAGCAATGTTTTATTATCTCTTCTTTCTCTAGATAATTTAGTTACCATTCTGAAATGGCATTGCAAAACACAAGAACCAACTTTTACGACAATAGCTCTCTAGCCAAACCTCCTCGGTTCATCAGAGACAGCTTCATACTTTGGAAGAATCGGATGTCTCTTTTCTTGGAAGGTGTGGATAGGATCCTTAAATTCCATACTATATTGAAAATGGACCTTATGTTTCATTTGCAATCTCTCCAGTAGTTCCTGCAACTGATACAACTGTCGTGTAACATCCAATTTCTAATATGCCCAATTATTTGCTTAGTATATTTAATTATTGGGTTAAAGAGAGCTTATGATTTAGTGGGAGTTTAGGTTTGAAGCTTTAGAATTTTATTTCTTAAGAATATATTAGAGGATTTGGAAAATATCATGTCAAATGGATACGTAA